AACATTAGGAGGTTCGTCACCTGCATACATCCCACTAGTTTATTTCAAAATTGGCGAGTCACACTTCCCTAGTTTCCCTTGTTAGTTTTATTACACACATCTTTTAAACAATGTACATCAAAACGGGTGATATTGTTTAAATGTCGAGTACTTAAATTTTTAATGAACGAGAATTTTTTAAACATACTTAACTTTCAAAATCATTGAACAAAAACTTTAAAATTTATCCCACGTTTGTTTAGACGTTTTAAGAGGTTAGATTGTGTGAATAAAATCTCTTTAAGTCAATTTTCTTTAAGATTTTCTTAAATCTCCTTCATCGACAATAACTATGTTAGAAAAAATTGTTTCATGTTAAAAATAATGATTCATGCTTAGAAAGGAAATTCCGTGTTCGGTATGAGATTTTAAGATAACATGAATAATGACATAAACGAAACTTTTTCCTTACTCGTTTTTATATTTTGAAATTTTTAGAATAAATTCTTAAAATAGTTTCACTGAAAACTAATTTAAAAATCAACGATGTTTGTAGATTAGTGTTTTTTTTTTGTTTTAATAATCTTCTGAGGAATTTATATCCTTAAATCAATTACAACTCGAACCAAAATTGGGCGAAATATCAATCAAAAGACGTTTGATTATGAAAATTATACATAAAATTGAGTCTTAAGGGAAAAAAAAGAAATATTTGATATATTTGGACGGCAGTTATGATTTATGTTAATCCTCTGGCATAACATTTTGAAGAAGTTTTTGAAAACGTAAAGATTTTTTTCATAATAAAAAAAGCGTAAAAAAGCGTAACAAAAAAAATAAATTTGTCAAATATCAGGAAAAATATCTTTGTTTATGAGAACTGTACGAAAAATTCCGCTTAAAAATAATTTGATGACCGGACGGGCAGTTAAGATTAATATCAATCATCTGGCATAACAATTTTATAAAGCTTTTGAAAATGTAAAGATTTTCTCCACATTACTTGCTTTAAAACAATGTTACTAAACAAATAAATTACCAGAGTTTAATTTAAATTTAAATCAAATATATAAATTCATAACTAATGAAAATTTGCAAAATGTGAAGAGAAATGGATGAAATACAAATAATTATAAGTATGAAGTCATTTGCCCACATCCAAAATAATCAGAATTTAAAATTTTATAATTAATTTTAAATATAAGAAAAACGGTTTGAAGATCACTCAATTTATAAATCTACTTAATAATTTCAAGTAAAAGGAAGACAATTAATTAATATAGCGGAAAATCGAACAGCATATCTTATATTCCTGAAATATTTCGTTATGCAGATTTTTCTTTAACGTGCTTTATATACATAAGAAAAAGAATAATGAAATACGTAAACTCCAAAAAAATATAAAACTGTATGAAGAAAATCATTGTTTTGATCATATATGCAATGTTTCATAAAAATAAAATGCTGAATCAGAATTAAAAACCTTGCTTAACGATCAGTAATTGCTACCGACTTTTATAAACATGTATAAATTAATTTTCAAAAGCCATTTCAAAAATTGTTTTTCATATCTTGCTTTATACATATATATATTTATTTCAATGGTTTTTATCAAGAGAACTATGGATTGTAAAACCATGTATTAAACATTAAAAGGAATTCTAGTAATAAATAATGCGAAAAAGGGAGCAGCATATCTTATATTTTCGAGATATTTCCTGATACAGGTTTTTTCGTTAGCGCGCTTAATCTATATATACATAAGAAAAAAATTAAACAAGTAAACGTCAGAAAATATAAAACTGTACTTAGAAAATCATTTTTCTTTGATCATGTACGCAACGATTCTAAAATGCTGAATGCGAAACCTTGCTTAACTATCAATAATTGCTATGAATTTTTTTTAACAATATAAAAATTAATTTTCATAAGACATTTCAAGAATTGTTCTCCCATCTCTTTCCATAAATATGCAGTTGTATCAGAGGTTTTTATGAAGAGAATTAGGGATTTTAAATCTTTTTATTAAGCATTTAAAAGAATTCCATCAAAAAATAATGTAGAAATAGAGCAGCTAATCTTATTTTTCTGAATTTTTCATTATGCAAATTTTTTCTTTAACGTGCTTAATATGTATATGCTTAAGAAAAAAGCTATCGCAGCATGTAAACGTTAAAAATTTAACACTTTATGAAGAAAATCATTGTTTTTGTTCATACATGCAACCATTTATAAAAAAAATACTGAATCAGAATTGAAAACATTGCTTAACGATCAGTAATTACTACCGACTTTTTTAACAATGTATAAATTAATCTTCAAAAGACATTTCAAGAATTGTTCTCGTATTTTTCTTTATAAATATATAGTCATCTTAATGGTCTTTATGAAGAGAATTACAGAGTTACGATGTCTATTAACAGCGCCCTCGTTTTATCTCAGCCCCATCAATATTGATTAAGACAAACATTTATATCCAGAATTGGCATCAGAAAAGAAGCTCGAGACTTTCGCATTCCTGAAGTCTGGCATTGAAATTTGGCACACTCACATTTTAACGACCTTGATGTGATCTCGGCGCCAAATATTACGAAGCGTAAAAAAGGCATTAAAAAGTGAATTTATGTGTTTACTGGAAAGCATTTTTGACATAAACATTACTCTTTACCAAATCTTTAACTATTCTAACCAGAAAAAAATATTTATTTAAATTCGACATAAATATCTTAGATTTAAAAAGGGGTAGAGATATCACACTTACTTAAATGAAATTTGTTTCTTGATGTTTAAGCATATCTGAAAGGAAAATAAAATTTATGTTAGTAAAATGTTTTTTAAAGACAGTTTTAAATGTCGATAAATATACATTTTTATCTCATAGATATTCACTCATATCTTAACTTTAAAAACCACTTTTTCGTTGCTTGAAAAACAAACAGTTTTATGACAAAAGTAAATTTTGCTGTTACAATTAGGTATTAATAGGTATTGAAACAACTGAAATTGTTAACCGGTGATATTGTCATTTTATTACAATCTATGTAATAACTCGTTATAGCATTTTTAACATATTATAAAACTTTGCATTTTTAAAAATACTTAAACTTGCTTAAGTTTGTCGCGGGAGTTTAAAATCTGAAATTGGATTTGCTCCCAAAGCTGCAGATATTTAATTTTTGTGGAAAAGCGTTATATATAACTGTAAGTGCTATATATGCTATAATGTTATGCGTGAATGTTATATTATTCGTAAATATTGTGACAAATTTCTAGGGGAGTAAGGGTGCATCATCAGGATTAAAATTGCATAGGTTCCCAAGCACGAAAACGTCGTCTTACGCGGCACTTATCTACCATGAATTGCTCTGATGCACATAAGGAAACAGTTCATAACAGAATATCGCCTATAGTGGCGTATTATAAATTTTCCAGACATAGATTCCTATGCAATTTCAATCATGATGATGTGCCATAACTTTCGAAACATGCCTCCTAAGCATATTTAACTTGCACATTTCAGCAAAAATTAGACTAAAATGTCCTTTTTTTAAAAAGAAAAATTGTAATTTGGAGAAAGAAACTGATTGCTGATTTGAAATCAGTGATCTGTTAAAATATCTCATGTAAAAAAAATTTCCCGTGTTATTAATTTTGCACTTTAAAACGCTTTTGAAACACGATACTAAGTAATGTCAAAGTTTATTAAAGACTTTTTAGCTTGCTGTAACATTGTTTGTGCAAAAACTATACCCTATTGTATTTCTATTTTAGTAAAGAAATTTTGGAGGTGCAATAAATAAAAGAGATTTTCTTAATTTTGGTTTTCAACATTTTCTGTTTTAAGCCTAACAGTAATTTTATTTTGCGTCTATTAGGTTGCCTCTATCTGTTTTTCTTTGTTCTTTTTTTTAAAAAAAAGATCATAAATCACGTAATTTTTAAGATTCAAGATTCGAGATTCGGCTCAAGATTCCAAATGTAGGGGAGAGGGGGGCACATGTGAACAAATTTTTTTATTTCTTCACTTTTCGAAAAATATCATCAATTTTTCATAGTAAAAAAGTCCATATGTATAAATAGTATTTTCTTTGTCTTGTGGAATTTTTTGAGATTTTTCAATAAAATTGTTCTTTATTTTATAATATTTTAGAAAAATGACTTCAATTGTTCACATGTGCCCCTATTGGGGGCACATGTGAACAGGCCTGGGGCACATATGAACAAGATTAAAAACACAAAGCAATCATCATATTTCAAAGAGAAAAAATCTTTAATATAACAGATATAGATACGCATTATACTGAGGGGATTGTAGCTTACTATGTGAATTTAAATTGTACAACAGTACTGTCAATAAGAAAATAATTTTTCAGCTGTACAATAATTTATCCGTAATTGGGTTTTTCGCAACTTCATGTTCCACGGGTGTTGTAATGGGCTTTTTTCTTTCTTCTCTAATACTCCTTCATGCTTTTTTTTTTCATTTTTTCTATCTTTTCATTTGTAGCTTTAACAATTCTATTTTCTCAGGTGTATCAGTTAATATGCGTGATGCGCGATCAACCATTTAATTAAAAAAAATTTTTAATGGAAAAATTAATAAATTAATTATGGAAAATTAAATAATGATAATTTTAAATGCATACATATTTTTTAAACTTATAATATCATGAGGATAATAATCTTAATACTATGTAGGGGCACTTGTGAACTGTTCACATCTGCCCCAGATGTTTTGTTCACAAGTGCCCCCATCATCCTTCTTAAACCTAACTTGTATTAAGATTAGTACAAGTTAATACAATAATTGAAATTACAATAATTGTCATAAACTTACCTGAATGTTCATATAATGATCTGCAATAGTTAATTTTAATTTATTAGTTGATTTATGTTATGCTTTCACTTGGAGAAGCGATCGATTATAATATATGCAATACCTGCTGATACAAAGAAATTGTCAGAATAGACCAACAAAATGTCTCATTGTTCTGAAAGTTTTTCAGAGAGGTAGGACTAGTACTGCCATCAATTGAAAATTTTTCGAGATTTTTTATTTCAAATCATATTGGTAAAACATACCATGTTCACATGTGCCCCCTGTTCACATGTGCCCCCTTCTCCCCTACTCTCTTATAAGTTTTAAAACTTTAAAAATATTCAGAGTTAGAGCATCACTTTAAGTTTGAAACAGAAGAGTTGACAATATAGATCTTAACTAGATGAAAAATGATTTAAGCCATGCTTTAGTCATTAAAACTCATCATTTTCAAGACAAATTTGCGAATTGAACTCCATAAAAATTAGAAAACAAGAGAGAAGTTTACCTTATTATATATTTATGAAATTGTAATGAACTCCATTAAATTTAACTTGAAGTAGAACTGAAATTTTTCCATTCTTTATAAATAAAAATATTTATTGCTAAACAAAAAAGTCATTAAAAACATGTCACACTGTTTTTTTCATTACTTCAAAAATAAAACAAAAAGAAAAATAATCATTTTCAGAACTGTTTGCCTCTGATAGTATATGCTCGAACAACCACGTTTTATTTAACAAAAATAGATTCTTATTTTTTAATATTCTTAACAAAATGAAAATAAAATGAAACTGCAATTCAAAAGAAGCGCAAGATAAACATTTAATCAAAAAATCTCCCTTTTCACGATTCCGCACTTCTCCAGTTAAATGAAAAACGTTTGACTTTGGCCAAGTTAAAATTAGTTCTCTCCCGGCTAAAAGACACAGAAATAGATGTCGCCAAAAATACTCCCAACATGTTTAACAAAATTACACCTGCCGTTGGGATAACATTATTCAATGCATTTTGTGCAACGTCTCGTAAAGCCACTTTTACGAGATGCGTTTACAGATACAATGGATGTGGTCAAAATTTATGCGACAAATAACAAGCGTCTCTGAAGTTGACTCGCTGTCAAGTACCATCTTCGTTTACAAGAGACCAGGGGATCGCTTCATGTTTATAAACCATGAAGACGATCGCGTAATACCTCGATTCGGAGTTTTTGTTATGGAAGAAAAGATCTAGAGAACGATTTGTTATATGTTGAAGGAATTGATATGGAAGATAAGACTTGTCAACGGTTTCTGTAACTTGAATAAATAAGGTGGTATGTTAAAAAAGAAGCAATTGTTATATTTCTGTTTAAAGCTTTTTGAAGGAAATTCGTAGCATAGCATGTTTTTGAAGAGAAGGATGTTTGATATTGTGGAAATTATTTTATAAAATCTTTAAATTAAAAAACAAAAAAAACAAACAAACAATATTTTAAATTTAGTGCGAGTGTCAATATAACCCACTGTTAGAATTTGAATCTAAAATTATGATAAAATCACCGGCTGCAGTCTGTCCATCCAATTAGTCTGTACATTCATTGCAGTTAAACCATCCAATCCATTGCATAAAAACCATTCAATTGCAGTCTGTCCATCCATTTTTGTTACTTTTACGGTTTTGAAACCATTCACAACTATTATGGTTATAACACCATGCAACTGTATTTTCACCATTTACAAGAGACATGGTTTCAAAACCGTAGAAAAAAGAATTTAGCATTTAACTGGACGTTGGAGTTAGGCTTTTCGTTAAGTAAAGGAATTGGAGAGTGCAGGATATTATAAACTCTTCAAGTGTTGTAGATAATGGAGGAAATATTGTTCTGTGGGTCATGAGACTGACAAATTAGCCTTATCGCCTATATCATTAACGCAACAGGAAGAAATTAAATGACTTCATTTGATGGGCTTAGCTGGGTGCGATAAAATTCTGGTTGATTAATCGTATTAAGTGAAAGCAGTTAATAAATGATTTTTTCACAGTTAAAAGTTTGAATACCATGTTATGTATTGTTATTTGACAGTTTTGTTTGAATACGGTAAAAAGACAATTAAATAAATTGTTATTTAATCATTTTGTCTGAGAAATTTCCAGCAGTGCATGATTAAAATCAATATTACTCATCAACTAGTTTTTAAGGAATTATTAGCTGAACAAATTTTTTTTGAGTTTAATCCACTGACGGTTCCTCAGGTAAAAGAATTTATTTTAAGAGGCAGTCTTCTCCCAGGGCTAAAGAGAATAGAAGGGCTAGTTCACTCCGCTCTTAGAGCTGAAGCTACGATTTCCCTCCTCATGACGTCACTGTGTCCACAGATCTCGGAGATCGCAAGCAAAGATATTATGATAACTTTGTATCTTTCTCTTTGTAAAAATAAGTTAGACTTTTTCTGGTTATTAGCTTTCAAACTTTACGTAATTAACACATTATTTCCGTTCATAAACATAGTTCAAAAAAACTTTCTTGGCCATTATATTAAACAAAATACCATTTTAAACTTATAAAAATGTTTTACTAGTTGTCGAAAATGACACTATAAATACTTTATTTTAAAAAGTTCAGTTTTAACTTTAATTATTAAGAAAAATGAAAGCATAAATCAACACTTTTTTTTATCTACATATTCCTTTATAACAATAAGTTGAGTAAAATTTAGAATTCCTGATTTTAAAATATGCCGTTAATAGCAATTTGCTCATACTTAATCATTAGGAAACATCAACCTTAAACGCTAATTACTGAAGCAAAATAATTATTTAGGTTCATAATGATATATCATCATTTTACAATTGTTTATAGATATTTAAATTTACGATGATATAATTTATAGATATTTAAGAGAACATAATTTTTAAAAAAAATCATAAATATTTAGAATAACTACATTAAAAAATATGTTATGAAATTAGGAGAATTCCAACTATATACTATATA